GGGTGGGGGGGGGGGGGGGGGGGGGGGAGAATTTTAAAGAATGTGGCTCAAATAAGGGCTTAGTCTTGTTGTTGTTTTACCTGGGATTAATTTGAGGGGATAGATAGTTTCTATTCCAAGTGTAAATGCTGTTTATGTTGGGACTTCCATCCGTAGCATTTCTTTACATGGGTAGGTTGGCACAATTCCCAACTTGATTAGTCGAGCAGGTCATCTTCTCTTAGTAAATAGGAAGACGCCAAGTTGTCAAAAAACTGAATGTGTTGATGACTTCTCATTTGCTAAGAAAAGCTGACATGAACAGATGTCGACAAAGTTATTCGGTTCTGGGGTCTGATTAGTTGCCCTTTGTCATTCAAATTGAATAGAATACTTTGCCCAAGTCTTAGAAGTTGGGGAAAAAGTTCAGTCTTTAGTGTATTCCAAGGCTTTCTTATTCTCAGTTTTGCTATATTATCTTCCTCCAGATAAGAGATAGTGACACAAAAATTATGATGTTTGTTTTTCCTGTGGACACCCGGATAGCCAGGCCAGCCACCCGTGCTGGCTCAGCCGAAAAGTTTATATTGGACGGCCGCAGGCACTCATCTGGATCCGTCCCTGCATGAATGCTTCTTTTTTTATGAGTTGGTAATTATATTTTGGAATATGTGCAGGAAGCTGTAGCCGTAACTACTGCAATCCAAGAGGAGATATTTCAGGAGATGGGAGTTGGTGAGTGGTCTTGGTATATGGATTATATGAACTTCAAATTTTTCCATTTGTATGCAACTTTTTTTTTTCTCTCCAAATTAACACGAGTAGCGTGTAGTGGCAGGCAGTTATTTAGAGGAACAAACTTGTAAGCTTGAGAAATTGTCTGTAGGCGGTTATGTGTTTCTGTACTAAAATTTTCAAATTCATGGGTTGAAAGTGAATTTTAGTTCTAAGACCAATCAAAAGGTTTTGGCGCTGAAATTTTCTCACTACCTTTTGCTCGCAAGAGCAGCTGCGGGTGCCATGAGCTTCTTCATCTTCATCTCCATCTCATAGCCCTTTTCTAATCGACTGCTTTATATTGTCAAGGGGGAAAGAAAGGTTTAAGTGGAGTTCGTAGAGGCAGGGAAGGAGATGGTTGAAGGTTCTCACGTTCTGCTAGTTTTTGGATTCCTATTCTATTGTATAAACCAGTTTTATGAGTTGATTGCAATCTAATTCTGAAATGTTTATAATTCTAATGTAAGACATCTTCATCAAGCTGTTCTTTTTGTCGTGCTATTTTTCTAAGATAATGAAAAGATACTATATCAATTTAGGTCATGCCTGCTATATGTGACAGTATCCATTTCTTGAACATTTTCATATTTACAAGTTTCTATAGAAGGAACTGCATACCCTATTGTAGGTTAAAGAATGGTAAACTACAATTGGAATAAAGAGTTTGTATTTGCAATTTGGTTAGTGGAATCAACTTGTATTATTGAGTGAAAGTGAAAAGCTTGGTCGACGTTTCAGTGTTTGTCAACTGACAATTGATGCAATTCTGGAGCATTTAAATGACACGATATCGGCCTTATCTTGTGTGGATACAATTGTATTCTTTTGTTCAGATAAGTTGCAGACTAGGTTGTATAGAATGTTACATAGTCATGCTATCTTACAATCAGTCAAATGCATTTTTGGACAAGGGAAATATCAACTTTGCATTATATATATGCATTACGCTGATGTGAAGAATAATCTGCATTTCTTCTCTGTGCCTTCATGGGTGAAGCAATACACATCATCTCTTTGTATTGTTCATGTATTAATATATTACACGTATAAGATTTATTTATTTTTCCATTGCAGATCCAAGGTTTGGTATAGCTTGCTTGGGAAAAGTAAACATGGCTTACGAGAATGACCTAGCTCTGCTGATCCAGTTTTATGTATTCGTAGCTAAGTATGCACAATCTCTCTATACATGCTCGTCTGTTCTCACTGCTTATATGGTTTATCAGTATGATGTACATCAGTTAAGCTATTCAGTTGATGTCTTTCTATTAGTTTCTAGCCTTCAATTCAGAACCATAGGCATATTAAATTCTGCTCTTCCATTCAGCCCTCTCTCGCTGCAAGTTTATTTCTACTTGGGCACAAATAATTCCAGACTGTTGATATCTGAAGAAATAACTATTTTTCCTTTTATGCTGGCTTGAAAAGGGAAGAGACAGCATGTGAGGAAGCTGAACTTGGACCTGAGAAATTTGCAGAAAGAATGGAGGCGCAACGGAAGTTACAACAACAGGTCAAGGTTCTTCAATTTTAATAATCTAGTTAACTTACTGATGAATGGATTGGGTTTGCATTTTTTACAGCAATTGGAGATGCTGAAATACATGCGTAACTTTCACCTGGACGATCAGTTGGCAATCCTTGAAAAGGTATGAAACTTGTGATTATGCAATTTTTCTTTCATCTTAGTCCTTCAACTCTACTCTTGTTTTGCTAGAAATCTATTTTATGAATAACTTGTCTATCTTTTTATTTGCCTAAACAAGACGTTCCCGATCATCATGCCTTCAAAAACAATTGTCAAAATCCTGATAGATTTCTCGAACACATTAGAATGCCTGATTATGGTTTATGGTTACAGTTCTTCGTTATACATTGTTGAAACTATAGCTGCAGAGAGCCTGAAATCTTGTCATGTGTACGTGTGCCTCCATGAACTTCTCTCATTTGAAATTGTCAGGCCTCAGCTTGTTTTGCGAATTCAATTTTAAGTAAATAAGCAAGTTTTCAAATAATCTACGTTTTTATGGGTTAAAATTGGCAGTAAGTAATTTACAATCTTTTAACCGGGAGGTGTGCTACTGTAGGTTAGCCAGCAGATGGAGAAGGCAAATTTTGATTCAGAGGCATCTGTGTTGTCAGTTGAGCAGATTCAAGACATTGTTCCAAGAAGGGTATCGCCTGTATTTCAGCCAAGATAGCTGGAAATTATTTTGTTTAGAGGTTTCTACTTTCTACTATGAATTGATGAACCTTTAATACTCGTCACTTTGGAGAATCGAGTTCTAATTTAGTGTCATTCACAATCTCTCATATTTTTCTTGGGTTGGTTTGATTAATGCATTCCTTCATGAGAACATAGAAATCATATATTTACTTTTCAAAAATAATAATATGGTGAATGAGAATTTGGAGTTCAAAGTTGATTAATTGGAAGAGTTTCATGTTTACGTGTTCGGGAAAACTATTTTATTTTGTTCCACATGAGAAAATTAATAAGGCAAAAACTAGTTTATATGGCCACACTTTCGAACGGTGTAATCGTATGTAGCATAGATGTTTTCTTCTTGTGCGTGTATAGATGGTGCAAATCACGGACAAAATTAGCACTTCATGCCTTGAACTTTTGTGCGAAAGTGACTTGTGTACACAAATGTTGGACAAAACAAACAAAAATTGATCCCTTAGTAGGGTCCATGCTTTGCCATTATTTCCTATAAATTTTTACTTCTTTCAATTGACTTTCCAACTCCTAAACTTATGAAATTCTTAGGGTCCGTTTGATTGCGAAGATGGAATTGAATTGAATTGAAAACGAGTTTCAGGGAATTGAATTGTCTAGAAATTATTTTTTTGGAAATTGTAAATTATTGTATTTGATTATATAATTTTTCATGTGAAAAATGTTGAAATAAAAAGTGTTTTTTGGTGTTTGTTTAACTTTGTTTTACATGAAAATTGTTAAGTTATGTGATAGAATTTATTGGTATTGGGGGTGAAATTTGTTTCCATTGCAAAAAAAAAAAAAAATAAAAAAAATTCAAGAAAATTATCTACCTTTTGGTGTTCGTTTAACTTTGTTTTACATAAAAATTGTCAATTAAAAGGAAAATATTTTTTTACAATAATTCTTAAAATTTGTTAATTTTGCCCCAAAAAATAAATAAATAAAAAATGCTACAGTAATCGAAAAATTGGTTTTCCCTAAAAAAATGAACCTATCAAACATCGTAAAGTTGGAAAATATTAGTCAAATTCCATTTTCCATGGAAAATTTAACCCTATCAAACATACCCTTTTACTAATGGAGAGATGAAACTCTCATATTAATGATGGTATGAAGTCCCTTTTGGCAACCATTATTTGAAAGTCATTTTTTTTCTATATACTCATTTTCAACCAATGTTTTGAAAATCGGATCGGATAGGTAAGTTCAATCGGAAAAATCGCGAACCGGCTATTTATTGGTATTGGGGGTGAAATTTATTTCCATTGCAAAAAGAAATAAAATAAATAAATAAATAATATTCAAGAAAATCATCTATCTTTTGGTGTTCGTTTAACTTTGTTTTACAAAAAAATTGTCAGTTAAAAGGAAAATATTTTTTTACAGTAATTCTTAAAATTTGTTAATTTTGTCCCAAAAAATAATAAATAAAAAATGCTACAGTAACCGAAAAATTGATTTTCCCTAAAAAAAAAACGAACCTATCAAACACCGTAAAGTTGGAAAATGTTAGTCAAATTCCATTTTCCATGGAAAATTTAACCCTATCAAGCATACCCTTATTTTATTACCCTTTTACTATTGGAGAGATGAAAGTGTCATATTAATGATGGTATGAAGTCCCTTTTGACAACCATTATTTGAAAGCCATTTTTTTTCTTCTATATACTCATTTTCAACCAATGTTTTGAAAATCGGATCGGATAGGTAAGTTCAATCGGAAAAATCGCGAACCGGCTATTTATTGGTATTGGGGGTGAAATTTGTTTCCATTGCAAAAAGAAATAAAATAAATAAAATTCAAGAAAATCATCTATCTTTTGGTGTTCGTTTAACTTCGTTTTACAAAAAAATTGTCAATTAAAAGGAAAATGTTTTTTTACAATAATTCTTAAAAATTTGTTAATTTTGCCCCAAAAAATAAATAAATAAAAAATGCTACAGTAACCGAAAAATTGGTTTTCCCTAAAAAAAAAAAGAACCTATCAAACACCGTAAAGTTGGAAAATGTTAGTCAAATTCCATTTTCCACGGAAAATTTAACCCTATCAAACATACCCTTATTTTATTACCCTTTTACTAATGGAGAGATGAAACTGTCATATTAATGGTGGTATGAAGTCCCTTTTGACAACCATTATTTGAAAGCCATTTTTTTCTATATACTCATTTTCAACCAATGTTTTGAAAATCGGATCAGATAGGTAAGTTCAATCGGAAAAATCGCGAACCGGCTATTTATTGGTATTGGAGGTGAAATTTGTTTCCATTGCAAAAAGAAATAAAATTCAAGAAAATCATCTATCTTTTGATGTTCGTTTAACTTTATTTTACAAAAAAATTGTCAATTAAAAAGGAAAATGTTTTTTTTACAATAATTCTTAAAATTTGTTAATTTTGCCTCAAAAAATAAATAAATAAAAAATGCTAAAGTAACCGAAAAATTGGTTTTCCCTAAAAAAAAAAAACGAACCTATCAAACACCGTAAAGTTGGAAAATGTTAGTCAAATTCCATTTTCCACGAAAAATTTAACCCTATCAAACATACCCTTATTTTATTACCCTTTTACTAATGGAGAGATGAAACTGTCATATTAATGGTGGTATGAAGTCCCTTTTGACAACCATTATTTGAAAGCCATTTTTTTCTATATACTCATTTTCAACCAATGTTTTGAAAATCGGATCGGATAGGTAAGTTCAATCGGAAAAATCGCGAACCGGCTATTTATTGGTATTGGGGGTGAAATTTGTTTCCATTGCAAAAAGAAATAAAATAAATAAAATTCAAGAAAATCATCTATCTTTTGGTGTTTGTTTAACTTTATTTTACAAAAAAATTGTCAATTAAAAGGAAAATGTTTTTTTTACAATAATTCTTAAAATTTGTTAATTTTGCCTCAAAAAATAAATAAATAAAAAATGCTAAAGTAACCGAAAAATTGGTTTTCCCTAAAAAAAAAAAACGAACCTATCAAACACCGTAAAGTTGGAAAATGTTAGTCAAATTCCATTTTCCACGAAAAATTTAACCCTATCAAACATACCCTTATTTTATTACCCTTTTACTAATGGAGAGATGAAACTGTCATATTAATGGTGGTATGAAGTCCCTTTTGACAACCATTATTTGAAAGCCATTTTTTTCTATATACTCATTTTCAACCAATGTTTTGAAAATCGGATCGGATAGGTAAGTTCAATCGGAAAAATCGCGAACCGGCTATTTATTGGTATTGGGGGTGAAATTTGTTTCCATTGCAAAAAGAAATAAAATAAATAAAATTCAAGAAAATCATCTATCTTTTGGTGTTTGTTTAACTTTATTTTACAAAAAAATTGTCAATTAAAAGGAAAATGTTTTTTTTACAATAATTCTTAAAATTTGTTAATTTTACCCCAAAAAAAAAATAAATAAAAAATGCTACAGTAACCGAAAAATTGGTTTTATTGGAAAATGTTAGTCAAATTCCATTTTCCACGGAAAATTTAACCCTATCAAACATACCCTTATTTTATTACCCTTTTACTAATGGAGAGATGAAACTGTCATATTAATGATGGTATGAAGTCCCTTTTGACAACCATTATTTGAAAGCCATTTTTTTTCTATATACTCATTTTCAACCAATGTTTTGAAAATCGGATCGGATAGGTAAGTTCAATCGGAAAAATCGCGAACCGGCTCAAAACGGGTTCGGTCATCAATAATTAACCAAAAAAACTCCAAACCTTTGGACCGGACGGTTAACTTGGAACCTGGAAACCGTATCCGATTTTTTTAAAGTTAAATGGTGTAATACCCCGAACTTCACGTTCTACATTTGGCCAATATGATTCATGCATTCCATGCTAATTACATTATCATTTGTATCAATTTCCTGATTGCCTTCTCTTAAAACGATGCATTTGATCATCAAGGCTTTAAAATCTTTACATGGTGATAACCTTCGACTCTTCGATCTAGGTGGTGAATTTTATATTGAGCTATGATAGAAAGTTAGATTAACTAAATGTTGGAGATTGGCTTGGTAAGTAATGTAATATTTGAAAGGCCGAAAATTTGTATCAACGAAGGTTCAAACTTTCCATTCGGCTAATCGAGGTCACCTTAAACCCTAGATAGGTAATTCACATATTTGGGACATGAGGGATGAAGTGACATTATCACAACGTAATAATATATGTCTTATACGACATTATAAATATTGAGGTGCGAATTGTTGAAATCGGTTGAGAATCGGGTAAGAAATTAAATGAACGGTTGAGGAATTAGTTCTATGAAATACTTTGGGATCTTAGGACAAGCGAAATGAATTGTAAACATGTCAAAATAAGCCGAGGATACTTGGTTTGTGCCTGCAAAGATAGATATAAAATCAGATTTTGCTACAAGTGACCACCTCATGCTTGAACACCTCGCGCTTGGGATGGTTGTCATTTAGCACTCAATTCCTTCAACCTTAACCCTCCAACACATCCTATAAGTCCTTAGAACTTTACACAAGATATTTATAACTCTTATAAGTCACACATGGCTCCATGTGGTGCAAGGGAGAAGTCAAAGTTGGCTGCAAGAAGCCACCTCCTACTTGGACAGCTCATGCTAGGAGACTTTTTACTTTAATATATAATTGCTTCAACCCTAAGGCATAAATTTCGTGTCTAATCCCCAAGGACTTAATATAGGCTAGGGCACCGAGGCATGTGAGGCATGCTTATGTGATATGTTTGGCATTGCGGGTGTTACTTCTTAGGTTATTGCAAAGGTAGATAGGGGATGGGCCTTTGGTGATCACGGGAGGGCGGACCACTCGACTATGCCCTTGTTATGATTATTGGCGCTGCCAGGTGGGAGACTTCTTGGGTGATCATAGGGGCAGTCAGGGGATGGGCCTCTAGTGGTCACGAGAGGATGGTCCACTTGTCGGTGTCGATTTCATACTGGCCACTTGATTATTGATATTGATATTATGCAGAGCTCTATCCGGTGCATAGTAGGTGGGTCAAGGGCCCAATGAAATGAAAGATTTCAAGTGAAATGATTTCTAGTCGACTTTGATGAATATTGAAATATGATATTTTTA